ACTGCGAGCGGACGCGGCCCACCGGAGACACACGACACGGCCGGCGGGCCCTCCGCCGCAGGGCGGCGCGCCCGGGCCGCCCGCCGCGCCCCTCGGCAGCACGAGCCCCGCGCACCGCGCCGCCAGGGAGCCCCGCAGCATCGCCCAGACGGCCCGCGCCTGGGTGCGGAGGGAACGGGCACGGTGCCCATAGGGGAACAAAAAGTGGCATAAACATAAGAACTCGGAGGTCAGCGCGGATTTCTCGGATCGGCGCTGTGGCCCCCTCCCTGGCGCGCGGAGCGCGCCACGGGCGGCGCCGGAGGCGCCGCTGGGGGGCCCCAGCGCCGATCCGAGAAATCCGCGCGGACCTCCGAGTTCTTATGTTTATGTCACTTTTTGTTCCCCTAGCCCAGCAGGAGCTCCTGCGTCCTTTTGCGCAGGAGCCGCCGTCCGCGCGGCCGCGGCCGCCCGCCCGTCGCGGCACGGCGGCCGCGGGCCGCTCTTGTGGGCCACATGTGTTTGCTCCGAGAGGCATCGTGCTCTCCTGCTCTCCGTGCGCGTTGCCTGGCGCGCAAAAGCACGCGCGACGGGCTCCTGAGGGCCCAGCGCCCGGGCGCCAGCGGCACGGTGCGGCCGAAGCGACGCCCTCGAGAGCCCAGCGGGCGCCGCGCGGCCCTCTGGCTCTCCCGGGGCGCGAGCGGCGGCCGGGCGGCTGGCCGCGCGCCGCGGCCGCGGCGGGGGCCGCGCGGTGCGCCGGCGGGTGCGCGTCGGCGGCAGCCTGCGCACGAGGTGCGCCGCCGTGCAGCGCGCCCCTGAGCTTCAGTTCGGGGGCGGAAAGGAGGGGGGTGATGATTAGGGGGGGTGGATATCATGGCGGGGGCCATGATATTTCCCCAGATCTCATGGCGCCTCTTCTTGTTTCAACACGTTCCCTGGCCCCTCCGCTGGGCCGTGCACATGCCGCCGGTCCTGATTTCCGCCCCCCCCCTCTTGGACACCCCCCTCTTGGCCGCTCCCGACAAGTCAGGCCAGCAACAACTGGGGGAGCTGCAGTCCTCACCCCCCCTGGGGGCCCAAGGATTTCGACACCCCTCTCGAGAGATCGTCGATGCGATGGGTTCCCCCAGGGGGGTAAGGACCACAGCTCCCCCAGTTCTGGCTGGTCCGTAAGCTGGGCGTGTCCCTCCCACTGGAAGACTAGTCAAAAATGGTCAAACATCGTCTGAGGACGATCTTTTTGGTAAAAAGTTACCTTTGACTGTTATTGAGATTCTGTTGGCGGTTTTCGTTTTTCTTCCAAGCTGCGTCTCTAGGAGGACATGCCCGACCTAGCCCTGGGCACGGCCAGCGAGAGGCGGCGGTCGCGGGCGGAGGGGGCGGCACTTCGGCTGCGACACCGCGTCGGCCCCGCGAGGGGTGAGCACGAGGCCGGGGGCGGGCGAAACGGCGGGCGAGCCACCTCGCGGCACCCCGCACAAGGACGAGGGCCACGAGGTGGATGTTGATTTGGCGTGCTCGTTCCTGGGCAAGTGTTGTTGGTCCCCTTGGTCCCCCCAACTGACCAGCACGTGTGTCTCACTGTCAAAATGTGCCGCTGGGTGCCCGCACCGGTGTTTGTGCAGGGGGAAGGTTGGGTGGCCGAACCGTGCCCCTGGACCCTTGGCTACAACCTCAACGGCTCCCGCCTGAGATTTCTCACAATTTATTGGCAATGCCTTGATGCCAGTTTGTGATTGACATTGGAGCCCCCCTCCCTTTCATAGCTGATGAATAGACCCCGTGGGGCGCGAACCCGTGGTTGTCGCGGGCGCCGCGACCGTGTACCCCCTTGCACGGCAGCCTCAAAACGGTTGCCATTTGCATCGAAGTTGTAATTGGGATAGTATACATCTGAGGCGAAGCTTTCCCCCACCCCTTCTCCTGCTTTGTACGTACATGCCATAGTCGTCGTCGTCGTCGTCGTCGTCGTCGTCGTCGTCGTCGTCGTCGTCGCTGTCGTCATCATCGTGGTCGTGGTCGTGGTTGTGGTCTTGCTCGTGGTCGTCGTCGTCGTCGTCGTCGTCGTCGTCGTCGTTTGCGTCGTTTGCGTCGTTTGCGTCGTTTGCTCGTTTGCGTCGTCGTCGTCGTCGTCGTCGTCATTGTCGTTGTCGTTGTCGTCGTCTATCACACCACCCTACGCCCACCCTCCCGCACATGGGGCATCCCCAGCGCGTCGTCGTCTCCGTCGTCGTCGGAACCGGCCTACGCAGCACCCCCATCTTCCCGCCCATGGGGCATCCGCAGTGCGTCGTCGTCCGTCGTCGCCGTCGTCGTCGACTTATGGCGGGCCTACGTAGCTCCTCCCCCAAGCGGCATCTGCAGTGCGTCGCCGTCGTCCTCATCGTCGTCGTCGTCGTCGTTGCTGTCGTCGTCGTCGTCGTCGTCGTCGTCGTCGTCGTCCTCGTTCTCTTTCTCGTTCTCGTCCTCGTCCTCGCCTCGTCCTCGTCGTCGTCGTCGTCGTCGTCGTCGTCGTCCTTTGCGGCCTTGTGCATTCCCCCCTCCCCCCATGGGGGCATCCGCATCGCGCGCGCGCGCGTCGTCGGTCGTTTCGTCGTCGGTCTTGTCGCCATCGTCGTCGTCGATTGCACCGGGTCCACGCAGAACCCCCCCAGAGGGCATACGCCAGTGCAAGGGGTGGACAGGGAGGGGGTGGGCAAGGAGAAGGAGGAGCGGTTGCGGCCCGCCTCCGTCGCTCCTCTGTCCCCCTCCATTTCCTGTTCGTGGACATGTCTGCACCGCCCGCCAGCTGTGAGTCGCCTCGTCTTCCCGCCTCCTCCTTTTCTTTTGTCCGTCGCTATTTTGGACCAGCCGCGTCGCTGGAGCGGAATCGTTGCTGTCCCCCGCGGAGGCGGCGCCGCTCGCGTCGCGCCCGTCGCCCTCCAGCTGGCGGCCTGGTGCCGACGCTGATCACTGGCGTCGCCGTGATGTGTTTTCATTTGGCGGGCGGCCCCCGCGATTCGCTCGAGTGAGGACATCTTTGTTTTTATTTGCGCGCCTCGCTTGTTTTTGTTCATAAAAAACTGACATTGCGGCCGGCGCCGCCGATCCTGGAAGACAGTTCTCGTGTGGGCCACGTGCATTCCTAAAGCTTCCGGGGTTTCTTTGGGCAGTCCTGGGGCTGAGAAGGTCTTGTGTTGTCTCTCACTTCGTTGCGGTCTCGGGGGCTATCTTTGGAAAGATGGCTCGTGTTGGCAGCTCGCCTTTCTTCGGGATCCCGCTGTAAGGGGCCATCTTGGGAGTCTCTTGGCTTTTTCGGGGGGCCTCTTGGGTTGTGTTGGGTTTTCGTGGGCCGTATTGGGGCCCTTTGGGAAGCTTTTTGGGTTGCTTTGGGGCGAGGGTGGCGGTCCTTGGGCGGCTGGGGGGAAACCGAGAATGCAAACATTCATCAACCATTTGTCTGGGAATCGAATGACTTCCGCCTCCTGCGAGTCTCCTGGGGGTGCTCTGGGAGCGTTCGTCCTTGGGACGGTTCAGGTTTCCAGAATCGCATCATGGGTCGACTTGGAGCGATCTCCGGGTTTTTGAGAACCCTTGTGGACCGCTGTGGGCGGAGGCTGCCAGAACAGTGTCAGTCTGGCTCGGAAGCGGCCCAGGGACGGTCGAGAACCGCCCCGCAATTTAGTCAAGCGTCGCAGCTTCTCCCGAGAGTTTCTCTTTTTTTTGTGTTTGTTTTGAGAAATTCACTCTCGTTTGCAATTTCCCCACGGATTTATTTGAGAGACTTACTCTCGCCAGTGCTTTCCTCAGCAGCATCGCGAATTCGCCAATCAAGACACACACGTCCGCCCATGACTTCATCCCCCGCGATCTGACCAGATCCACATTTGAATGTCCTGTCTCCCCGGCCCGCCCATGTGTCGGGCCGGACGAAAGGGGGGGATTGGGAAAAGGGGGGTTGCGAAATTCCACCGAGTGGCCCATTCCTCGATACATAGCTGCCTCCGGCGCCGGGAGGCGCCGGGAAAATCAGCTGAGCGAGCTGATTCGCAACCCCCCCTTTCGCAATCCCCATCTTTCGCTCGACCCGAATGTGGGCCTACACGCCGCGCCCGCCGATGGGGGTCCGCCCGGCCGCCCGCGCCGCCCGTCAGGGTTCGCCCTCCCGACTCGCCCGCTACGGTCCGCCCGTCCAGCCCGCAAGTTCGGGTTAGTTCGTCGTCGTTTTTTTCTGTGGGGGGTTCCCAGCCAGTATACAGTGGGGGCGCGCATCAAGAAACCATATGCTTTCGTCAGGGTATCCTGGGTTTCTTCGCTCTTCGCGCTGCGCGGCGACTTCCCGCAGCCGTTGAAGGAGCTGCTGCGTTCAGGGTGCTCCAGGTTTCCCCTCGGGTGCACCTTGCGCGCGGGTTCTCAGGGTTGGGTTGCTTGCGAGGGTTTTTTGCGGCCGCGCCCGCATTGTATATTCCGTACGTGGCATTGAAAAGGATCCCTTTCCCCCCAAAAGGGTGGACCTCTTCTGGACGAGGAGGGGGGCGGGTGTCAAGGGGTTGGGGCTATGCGTGTTGAGTGACAGTTTGGCAGTAGTCGCGAGCCGTCCTACATTGATCGGTACTGTTGGTGATGATGGCGAGGAGGAGGAGGAGGAGGAGGAGGAGGAGGAGGAGGAGGAGGAGGAGGAGGAGGAGGAGGCGGTAGGAGAGGAGGAAAGTAGTTCAGGAGGAGCGGGGAGAGGAGGAGGAGCAGGGAGGAGGAGGAGGAGCAGGGAGGAGGAGGAGGAGGAGGAGGAGGAGGAGGAGGAGGAGGAGGAGGAGGAGCAGGCATGATGATGGCTTCATGAGGGCTGTCAGAAGGATCAGAGGGCAGCGGGAAGAGGAAACCTCAGCGATGACGATGGTGCTGGTGGTGGCGGTGGTGAAGATGAGGATGGGGGAGAAGGCAGGTTGCAACGGGTGGATGGGTGGAGGAGGAACAGGAAGGGACAGTATTCATCAACAGGAGGCGGAAGAGGAGGCAACCAAGGTCCGGGCGCCCGCGCCGAGGCCCCGAAGCCGAAGGGCAAGGACGACGACGACGACCTGTGAGCTGTACGGGCTTCGGCGGCTTCGCTGGGTGCCTCTCCTCCTCCGCCTCCTCCTCCTTCCATCCCCCTCCCTCCTGAAAGGGACCCGCCTCGGCCCCTCGCTCGCCCGTGGGCCTCCTCTGCGCCGCCTCTTTTTTTTTCTCGGACATTGGAGTCAGGCCGACCCTGATTCCTGGCTTCCCTCTTCCTCCTCCTCCTCCCTCTTCTCCTCTCTTCCTCCTCCCTATGCATAATGTATCCCTGTTGCACCCCGAGGCCAGTGTTTAGGGCGGACCGGGTGTTTCGCCTGAGACTTCCTCACCGTTCATGATTCTGAAGCTTATAAATTGGCAAAAGTTTCACAGATGGATGGCGGGTGGTTTTCAAAACGTTAGCGCGGCGCATAATCGTTGAAACAAATTGCAAGAGTTTCACGGATTGAGGGCGGGTGGTTTTCAAAATGTGGCTCTCGCCTCAGCGCGGCGCGCATTCGTTTTTGACACATGGCAAGAGTTTCACGGATTGAGGGCGAGTGGTTTTCAACATGTGGCTCTTGCCTTAGCGCGGCGCACATTCGTTCTAGACATTTGCAAGAGATTCGCGGATTGAGGGCGGTTTCAGTTCAAAATGTGGCTCGCGCTTCAGCGCAGCGTTTGCATAATTTTCAAGAATTTCACGAAGTCCCATCATCAACGTGCCAGACATGGTGTTTTGGACGGATTCAGGGTTTTGCGGGTGCAACAGTTACGTTGGTTCTCTGTGTTGAAGTCCCAGGAGTGGCGTTCTGGCACGATTCAGGATCGTCAAGACGCAACAGTCAGGTTGATCCGTGGTGATGGAATCCCGAGAACAATGTTTTGGCATGCTTCAGGGTCTTCAGACGGTTGTCTTCCAACGAGGCAGTTCCTTCAATAGAAATGAACCGTTATAGGAATAGGGAGTTTGGAGGGAGGGTTTACTCCAACACCGTTGATGACTCTTGGGTCTCCACCCTCCTCCTCCTCCTCCACCTCTTCCTCCTCCTCCTTCCCCTCCTCCTCCTGCTCCTCCTCCTCCTCCTCCTGAGGGGTGGGGAAGGCGGGGATGCTGCTGCTGGTTCTGATACTGCTGGTGGTGATGCTGATGCTTGTGCCGTATCATCGCTGGCACTTGCTTGCGTGCTTGCGGGGGCTGGTATAGGAGGTGGGTTGCTGGGCAGGTGAGGAACGACATTGGGTGGACACACGTTTCCGCCACATCTTCGCAGCCGAAGTCCGTAAGAACGATGGGGGCACATGGAACGCATAGGGACACGTGTGTCATGTTTTGTGGGCTCTCCTTACGCTGTCGGAGCATCTTGGGGACACTCTGGGGCCTCTGCGCGGCCTCGGGGGGCCTCCTGGGCGCTTCTCAGAAGCTTCTCGGGGCCTGTCATGGGCCAATTTGGGCTACCTTGGGGTCATCTTGGGGCCCATCAGAGCTGTTTTGGGGCCCTTCTGGGGCCTGTGACCCATCGATCCCCGCTCTTGCGCTAGTCTCGTAGCTCCCTCTTCTGGGTGCGGATCTCGTTCACAGCACGTGGGGCTCTCTTGAGCGAGTTGGGCGCCATAGTTTGGCCTCAGGAACGCATGGTCGGCGAAAAGGCGAGAACGCCATCATCATCGAACCACGTTTTGTTATGACCATGAGTTAGGTTGATTCGGGGTAGTTCGCGAGCCTCTCGAGGGTTGCCTAGGACTGGGCCATGTTGGGGCCTCTTGGGCTGTGTCGGGGCCCGTTTTGGGCCAGTCACCTATGGATGCCCGCTCTCGGCTGCTCTTGAACCCTCTTGGGGCTCTCTCGGGTGCCTCTTGGAGTGTGCCCACGGCGCTCTCGTAGATCTTCGGAGTCCTCTTGGAGCCCTTCTAGGCTCCACGTGGAGCCACAGTTGGTGATCTGTGATCCACTTTGAGCCCATCAGACGTCCATCGGACGCGAGACGATTAGAGAGTTATCCTCGTAGAACAAAGGCTCTGTGTGTGTGCCGGTGTGTGCGCGCGTCTGTGCGTATGTGGTCGACTTGCTGTTGTTGGCTTGAGGGTCTTGTCATGACCGCATCCACCCCTGGCACCGACTTGCTTCGCCCCCTCGAAGTGCGCGCACCGACCGCCGAGGCCACTCGGGACGAAGAGGCTCAATAGTGGAGGAGGACGGGGAGGAGGAGGGAGGAGGGAGGAGGAGCAGGAGTAGGAGTAGGAATAGGAGCAGAAGCAGGACCAGGAGGAGGAACAGGCGGAGGAGGCGGAGGAGGAGGAGGAGGAGGAGGAGG